ATGGCCCCGGGAAGAGTTGCTCTCCCTGCCGTCAATTTGCAGTGGCCAGCTGGCGGGATGGCAGCCGCCACTTCCCGCTGCAAGGGAGGCTCATCCATAGCAGGAGATACTCCGCACAGCCTAGGAAAGCCTACGACCAGCTCGCAATGGAGGTCTGCTATCGGCAGGACTCAGATAAGATTGCCAGCTACACGCGCCAGGTTGATGCGGACCTGGCAGAACAAGAGCCGTCATGGTCGGGTCTTCGGTTCTCCATGGAGAAAGCGCTGCAAGCAGAATTCCCGATGCAGAAGAGCGTGTGTCCCCGTCGTAATACTGGACTCTGGGAGTACCGCAAGACACTGCGCAGCCTCCCCGTCGTACTCCTTGCCATAGCGGATTTGCATCGGCAGCTTAAGCAGCGCCTGGTCGGGCGCACCTGGGCGGCGATTGCACGGCAGAGCTCGGAGGCCAGAACGGCAAAGCAGCGCAAATTTGCGCAGCGCCAAGCTCTAATAGACGAGCAGCTCGCTCAAGCGGAGGCTAAAAGCGCCAAAGACGGGAGCCACTCACTCTACCAGGTCATCCGAACCTTCAAGAAGGGTAGGCCCAGTGACAGAGTCCAGCTACGCGATGAACAGGGTCGTTTTCTCACGGCCAAAGAAGAACGACAGGCTCTCGAAGCGTGCTCTAGAGATTTGTTCGGGACGGGAGAGGACTTCCAGCTAGATGGAGTCAATGGCGAACTGGGCATTTCCTCCTCGGAGGTCATGGAGCAGCTTCGCTCCATCAAGCTGGGCAAGGCAGTTCCAAGAAACTGCCCGCCAGTAGTAGCCTGGAGAGCCCTAGGGCCTGTAGCTCAACAGCATCTAGCGCATCTTCTGAACAGGGAGGCCCAGGCGTCGCGAATGGACCCGAAAATCACTAGCTCAAGCATCTCCAGGCTCCCTAAACCCACCAAAAAGCCAGACAAGCCAGCTTCACTGCGACCTATAGTCATAGCTCCCGAAGGCACAGTTCTTGCAGGCTTTGTCAGGAAACAGCTCAAACCTGCCCTGAAAGCTGCCATGGCCGAGGTGTCACAGTTCGGCTTCGTGCCGGGCTTTGGCACGGAGGAAGCCATCTGCAAGGCACTTACACATGTCGATGAAGCCAGGGCAAG